TATATACAGAATATAATATAAATAAATAAATTAGGTAAGCAAAATATTTTGTCTTTTAAAATATCTTTAAAATCAAACAGTTTATATTGCGCTTTACATAATACATAATATAAATTTAAAAACTATTTTTTTATATACTACATAATATACCACTTTAATAATGCGCCCCAAAAGAGTCTGTGCAAAAATATTATTTTTATGCTTAGCTTCCCTACTTTCCTATTACAATTCGCATCTATGTAAACCATATCAAATATATATATTATTAATTTACAAAAATATATATATACATTAGATCCCATATATATTAGATACCTTGCAAATTTTATCACACACTCACAATACCCTTAAAACACTCTATAATAAAACTCTGTACAATTTGTAGAAATTCTGGGTATTTTTTTTTTATATTCGAGCGAACGCGTTCGTCTAGAAAATAATTCGTTTTTTTCTGTGCCCCGATTTTTATTGTGCGCGCACTGCGGAAAATCAACAAACATTTCCTGGCAATGCTGCGTGTAATAAATAAAAATACATAAAGCAGCCAGCCCGTCGCCCAAACACGAGCCAACAAAACCCACTGCCACATATCCTGCCGTCATATTCCGGTGCAAATTATGGCCGTTGCCTGCTTATTATTACGACTCGACGACGACGACGGCATCGCATATCCTAGCCGAGCGCATAAAATGCAATTTATTTAAATAAAAATCAAGTTTAATTTGCAGTGTCGTAAATTTGCGTTCGTCCGCATTGAATTTCACGCTTTTGTTAACAAGCGCATAAAAGTTTTCGCTTCTGCCAACTGATAGCCCGGAATGTCAAGGGGTAAGCGTGTAATGGACGGCGGCGGGGGCTGTGTGTGTCCTGTGTGCTAACAGAGAGCACTGAACTTGCCAGCAAGACGAGCGACAATTGATGCGTTGCCGAAAGAGTTCAAAACTCTAAGCGAAATATGAATTCGCTTGCATAAAAATTGATTACAGTCGGTGCATAGTAAAAATAGATAAGGAATGTTAAGGCAAGGCAATCGAGCGTGTTCTATAAATGCATAAACCGATTAGTTCTAAACAACAAATGAATAAGACTAATGCGTAAAATCTGAGCAGGCTGCTTGAATAGATAACATGCTAACATGTCCCGGTTGAGCAGCGCTTCTCCAACTACAATGAAGACGACAAATGCATCAAGACATCAATAGCAGCCAATGAGCTGAGCTTTTATACAAATCAATTGTCAGTCAGGTAGAGAAAATTACTTGCTAGCGATAGATTATATTGAATTATTAGGATATCTGTCAGTTTGCAGTTAGGAAATAAATAAAATTAGTATATTTCTACTGCTCACTCTCTCAAGAGATTCCAGTGAACTGTCTGATTACAATTAAAATTTTTTTTTTAATTTTTTTTATTTTTATTTTAATAGTTAAATTGGTAAGACTTATGTCTATTTCGCACCAGTTTCTTGATATGTTACATATCACATCGGATATGGCAGAATTCATCTAAATTGTTTAAAGATTGCACATAAATTATATACCAAATAATACTATTACTACTTCACATTTTGGATACCTTAAGCCATTATTCCTGCCATCAGTAAATCTTCTAGTCAAACACTTGCCTAGAACTGACTTGGTCTATCGAATTTGAGAGATTATTTTGGATTTTTTTTTTCAAAACCAATCAAAGACTTTTCAACAGAATTTTTAATTAATTTTTTAAAATTATTATT